TACATGTGATTTTGATACTGGGATTGCTTCCGCTGCATATAATAATCCATCAATTGGTATCAGCCTCAGGATCATCTGGCAAACGCATATACGTCAACAGGAACATCCGTGACACAGTTGAAAGCTTTTGTACTAGATCTGTTCACTGACCATATATATTTTCCATTTGATAAATGTCATACTTGTAGTTACTTGTGCACTTGAAAACCTTTGCTACTTATTTCTAGCAGCAGTTTTAACGACACAACTTGGTTTCCTATCGAAATTCAGAAGCAATCTCTGCTGTAAGTTGAGCAGGAGCAATGCTACAGAGCCAAATTCAGCTCATTATTCCAAACCGCCAAAAGGAAACTCTTAGCCAGGACGGTTTCCATTAGGTAGTATCTTTAGTTTAGGTGTCTAAACTAAAAATAATGGCTAAGTTTAAGGGCCGCATATGTATTCAGCCTTTTTAGAACTTCACAGGATCACAATGAAGTCAATCTTAACTATATGAGAATCTTGGCACATCAAACTGATTGAATATCTCAATTTATGGTATGTTACTGGTTCTTATCATGAGTTGAAGGATTTGTTCAATACGTTCTTAGTCCAAATCGACCAAGGATTTGAAATTCTATTTTACTCAACTATATTTGTTGATAAATATTAACGATCTTTAATTTTGAGAAGAAGAAGAGGAGGAGGAGGGATTCAATATTTTTAATGCGGAACATATATATATATATATATATGTGTATAAAATTAATAAAATTTTAACATACTTAGTTTTGAACGTATAATTTTAAGAATGCAATGAGTATTAAAGACTATATAAACTGAATACGTGAAATTTAACTCCTGGATTGCTCTATTTGATTACTTGTTAAGTTATTAAAATAAGCCAGTACTATATAATACAGTATTATTAATACTCCTATAATCTTTTAAGATGTGCGCCGGGCCGCCGGCCATCATTATTGTTCTCTCTTAGCCATCATTGTTCGCACCTCTTCCTACGCTTTTTGCTTTCTCTACATTTTATTTATTTTATCGATATAGATTGCTTTCTGTTTGATTTAGTACTTGTTATTTGTATACTATCGTGTTAATGAGATTAAATAATTGACTAATTAAATGTAAATTTATTTTAGTAAGTTTTTAAATTTTCTTTGACAATAACTTTTCTTATTTACAGTGAAGGGTAGGGTGTAATTATTTCCCCAAACTTCTAAACAAACACTTTTTAGTCCTTTACAAAGTGGCAAAAGCTGGAAATTCCACTATACTAACTCACATGGACGGCTTAATGAAAAACATTCTATTTTAAATTCCACCATTTCCATAATATTCTTGTCGTTAGGAAGTTTCTAAAGTTCCATAATACCCCTAATTTCTCTCTAATCATTCCACTAAACCTCCCTCTAAACTTTAAAGCAAAAGGGCTAAATCCGTCATTTCAGTTCTGTCTATTTAATCACGCTTCCACGCTCCCTCCCTTTTTTCGTTCCTTTTTGTCTCTCTCTCACACAAACACACACTTTACTCTGTCTATGCACATAAAAAATGTTTCTGTTTCTCCTCTGAATAACTTCAATGATTCAATGGTGCTTTTGGAAATTGGACCATTCCATTTGATAGCTACACGCCTATACTAAGGAATTTTCGTTCCATCAACTTTTGTCCCGTTTACTATTTGCGCAGTTTTTTGTGCAATTATAGATGACTATGGAGACGGTGTTGGAGTTTCTCTTGCCGTCATGGTGGGAGGTGCAAGTCACCGTCTTCGCGACGGCCTTTATTGTTCTCTGTTGCTGGTTCTTCACCCTCGACGGAGATGACATAGTTGAGTATCGCACTCGGGTTGACGGTTCTGGTATTGTCAGTAGCGTCACTAAACTGGAGGATGATCCAGCATATAGAGTAAGTGGATTCGAAGTAAGTAGAATGTACTCCCAGTTTATATACATATACATTTTCCTTTCACTAATTCAAAAGGAGTTTAAGTTATATACGCTGTCAATTTAAGGAATTTTACACCCCGTCAGAATCACCTAAATATGTTGTAGCAGTTAAACTTGTCTTATTTTTAAGATCATAAATCCCGCATTTTAAGGAGGCTTGCCTGTACAAATCCTTTGGGTGGTGTAGCTAACATAGGCTCATTATGAAATAATGTCAAAGTCATCTTCCTGCGTCCTATCCTGTTGTAAATAAAAATCTGAGTTAGTTAAAACGAGCATTAGAACTTGTCATTGTGACGAATTTTATTCCAAATTGGAAGAGTACTGAGTTTAGAAGATGAAGTAGAGATCACTGGCCTAGCTTCTCTAATAATGAGGATGACATCCACATAGTTGATAAGTATACTTATTTGTGTTTGCTTTAGTTGTAACTTGCATCTATTATTCGGCAACTTCAGAAGCTAACTCTAGATATTGTTATAAGAGTTCAATCAGTTGTTGGCGTTGTTTCTCAAAAATCATGTGTGCTTCGTCGAAATTATGATAAGCTGAAATTTGATTTTGCATAGTCCAATCATCATATTTCCAATGAAAATGTACCACACAAAAGTCTAATCCTGATTCCGAATGACCAATATAAGAAGTTAACAGGAATATCTAACTTTCTTAGGAAGGAAATGATCCCTTGATTGAAATTTATAAACTTCTTTTTCGTTTTCATCATGTGATTTTCCACTTGTTTGACGTGCAGTTGCGCACTTATTTTGTAGATGTGCCAGTTAAAAGGGGATGCTCAAACTAATTCTTCATACGTAATCAAGGTATATTTGAACTTCATGTTCATGCACTAATTATAACTCCTATCTCTGGATTTGGTGCATTGTACAGTACTGCTATTGGTTGCCATGCTTATTGCATTAGAATATTCATGTGATGGCCATATCTGCAACTCATAGTTGACTACTTGTACTTTGTCCAATGTTTCAGGTTGAATTGTTGGCTGCTAAAAATCTTATTGCTGCTAATTTGAATGGGACTTCAGATCCATATGCAATCATCACTTGTGGGAAACAAAAGAGATTTAGGTGGCTACCTCTATTTTATTATCCTATGATCTTGGCGTAGTGGTTTACCTTGTCTATGGGTAGTTATGAGTATGCTTTTCTATTATTGATGATTTTTGAACCAGCTTCCATCATCAAAGATTGAATGTGTCACGATGTTCTTGCACGAATATACATCTTTATAATCTATGTTTAATAGATCATGCAAACATAAATGATTGGTTGATTTGGTCCATTCTGATTGATATTCAAATTTGTTTGGATAAGCATGTTTTTTTTAATTAATGTGGAAAGCAATTTGAGAACCATCTTTTTCATGTTTGTCTCTTTCCATTGATTGAAAGTGCATGCAAGTTCTAACCTTCTACCTTATATGATTCTGTCAGTTACTTGTGATCTTTGAGTTTTTCTTAGAACATTTTTGGAATAAAGATTAATATGTACTATGAGACTCTCACAACTGTGGCTAAGTAAAATGAACTCCTTTTGATATAATATGAAGGAGAAACCAGACCTTTTGATACTTATATTGTTGGTTAGCTTAGTTTTGAGATGGTCTTTGCTCCATTACACTGTGTTGTAATAGTTGACAGTCAAGGTTGGGTGCGAGCTTACCTTCTTTTTTGGTGATTGGTTTGTTAACAATGTGTACAATGGGGATTGGGGAGTTACAGAAAGTTGTAAAACTATCTCTTCAGCATACTTTTCACTCCTATATTACACATGTTTCAAGTTATGTTCTTCAAAGTGTTGCAGTTCAATGGTTCCTGGTTCAAGAAATCCTATGTGGGGGGAGGAGTTCAACTTCTCTGTTGACGAGCTTCCAGTAGAGGTAGCTCCCAATAAATCTTTTGACATAAAGCACGAACTTACTGCAGTCTGTGTTTTGTAATCATCTTCAGATTTTTGTGTGCTGTATTTGCTGTTTGATTACTTTAACATTCAATATTATATTGGTTTCGTGTTTTTATTATCTTTTTGTAATGAATTATTTTTCTTGATTGTATGACAGATTAATGTGACAATATATGATTGGGATATAATTTGGAAAAGTGCTGTTCTTGGTTCAGTGACTGTAGCTGTTGAAAATGAAGGTCAAACTGGTGCAGAATGGCATACATTAGACAGTTCATCTGGGCAGGTATTATTGATTATGTTATCCTCTTTTCTTTGAAAAAACATCATTTATTGTGGATGTTTTAGTGGTTGTTCTTTTACAGAGTTTTGGCTGTTGTTTTTTTTTTCTTTTTCAGGTTTATCTTCATATTAATACTTTAAAGCACAATGTCAATTTTTCAAGGTGCTCTTTTGCTCCCTTTTCTTTTAGGGTCTTACATTATTTCTTATTTGAATGTCAACCATCTTTATGGGACTAGTGTTTTATATTTGAATACATAATCAGCTATTTGTCCACTCATAGGTTCCTTCTTTTGGTCAAATGTACATACTCTTTCAAAGAGTTGAGTTGGGGATTTACGTGCTATTAGAGATTTTGTGATAGGATAGCTTACCAATATTACATATGGTTCCCCCAATCTGTCAAGGTTTTGCTTATTTGCTGAGCTACTATAAAGCATTTGTGGCTCGAGAATACAGTGTAACCTCGAAACTTGAGTTTGTGCACAGTGTAAAATGTGGCAGGACCAGCTTCTGAATAAGTTACTTAATTGTTTGGTGAACTTGGTTCTACTCTGGATAGTTTCTACGGTTTTTTATGATTCAACATTATTTTTCGGTGCCACAGTTATAGAATATAGTAACTTAGCTGCTATTTGGAGGGGGTGTGCTTTCCCTCTTGTTCAGCTCATTATTCAATAGTACGGAAGTGTATATATGTAATAATACACAAGTGATAGATATCAATTTGATTTTCATGCTTGCAATAGGTGGATAGTGAAAAAAATGGAGAATTAGGAAGAATTAACCAGGTAACAAAACACTCCTCACTTAATGAGAAAATGTGGGAATAGGGGAGATAAAAGAGCGAGGCATGAATGTTGATCCTTTAATCATCAGATGATTACTCTTTACGGAGATATATTTCTGTTAAAGCTTTACTTGGCAATGCTTTGATGACACTTAGAGTTCAGGAAAAAGAAAATAATTTTGAAGCAATGCTACGAGCATTATCCACACTCTCTGAAGTGTCACATGGGTATTGTTTATGGTCGGATTTTCTCTCTGTTGTTGGAAGATTCTTGATCCCTCAGAGAATTATGTAATTACTTATGGTTCATCACTCTGTTCCTTGAAAAGATTAGTGTTCATCTTAGCTGAAAGATAATACTCTTATTCCCCCTTCTTCATTTGGTGGTTTTAGAGGTTTGAACGGCCATGCTAATACTCGTAGAAGGATTGATTTGGATAAACAAGGACCAACTGTTGTTCATCAGAAACCTGGGCTGCTGCAAACAATATTTGATCTCCCTGCTGATGAGGCAAGTGCTAAGTTTTGACTGATAAAGGACTCTTGGTTTGGAAGAACTCTAAGGTGGAAATTTTGGACTGTTGTGAGTCAGTTCTTTGCTAATCAATGTAGTTATTTCAGGTTGTCGAACATAGTTATTCATGTGCTCTAGAAAGGTCATTCTTGTATCATGGCCGTATGTATGTTTCGACATGGCATATCTGCTTCCACTCAAACGTATTCTCAAAGCAAATGAAGGTCAGATCCTCTTTTGATTGTACCTCGTGATATTTTACTTTGTGGATCTACTTTTTACCTAAAATTTTCTAAGCTAAATGCTTATGATTAATTTGTTTTCTCCGGTGAATTATATCCCATTGACTGCCATGAGTTTGTTCTGGGTATTCTACATTTCTGCCAGAAGCGTAGTTCAAAATTTTGTAGTATCACCCTGCCTGTGGATATCTTGAAATGGAGCAAGTTTTATGAGGAAAGATTGCTAATAGCAGTTTTTAATGGATGAATGTTGGATAAAGGGATTTTAATCTGTGTTAGTTTATATGGATCCACCACACTATAGAGTGCCTGGTCCTCTACCGAGAATACTAATGAAGTAGTAAGTAAATGAGATACGGGATTTTTACGTGCAAAAATCCCACTCAAGGGGACAAAAACCACGACCTACACTTGTAGACTTTCAACTCACTAACTTGCAATCACACTATTACAAGCCACTTTATAATGACTCTATTATAAAGACTTCAACTCAACTGACTTGTGATACACTTACCACAAACCACTTTGTCATACACTAGTTACAAACACTTTAACTTATGACTAACTCTAGTCACAACATAAACTCAGAAGGTTTATGATTTTAGGTTTCCTAAAACACAACTTCTAAGAAAGTAAGATAGGAGTTACAACGAAGAACAAATAACAAGATTACAACTCAACTACGGATACACATAGACTCATTGTGGAACTGATCCTTAGTGGAGTTGTCTTCTTGTTCTTGACAACTTGTGACTTCAATGCTAGATCAACTCTTTAATGTTTGAGAGAATATCACTAAATGCTCAAGTGAATATCTTGTGTCTTGCACCATGTTGTTATACCGCCAAAGACAACCCAAGGATGATGTCAGTTCATGGTTGGTACACGCCACTTCCCAATGGGAAGTGACTGCTGCACTGTCACGTGTACAGTTGCAGGCACGTACTTTCTGCAGTTACTTTCCAGTTGTATAGTTGACTTGTACTTCTGTCAGAGAACATCCAGGGATCAGGTCCCTGTCTTGTTCCTCTTTTCTCTTTATTTGCTGCAGTTCACATTAGTTGGAGTTCAAGCTGGACTTCGTTCATTTGAAATGTGTACCAAGTGTGTCAGGTTCCCTATCTGGTTCTTGACAGTAAATTTGTTAGATCATCAAAACATAAGGCAAAGACAGTGAAAGCCCATCAATTTCCCCCTTTTTGATGAGACAAACTTAGGCATCGATAACAGTTATTTAGAGCAGAAATAACCAGATAAGGTAACAGGAACTTCACAAGTTTCCCCTGACCTTTTGCTTTTGATTCCCCCTTAACCAGATCCTCTGTTTCAATCAATTTCCATTGCATTTATATTATACTATGCTATACTTCCCCCTTTTGGCATCATTAAAAATACACAAGCAAGCAAACAACATAAAGAAGTCTAACACATATGTGCACACAACATGACAAAAAAGAGAAGCCAAAAGAAAACAACATTGTACAAGCAAAAAGAAGAGTTGTTTCATTGATATGAAAAATGGACGGAGTAAACAGGAGCAGTAACGGTGAAATCCAACATGCCATCAACAAAAAGACAAACAAAAAGAGAAACAAAAGCCACAAAACATCTTAACAGAAGACAGCTGGGCGCTGAGAGGTTTCTAAGGGGCGCTAGAAGAGAGACTTGGAGAAAGAGGCAGCAAGGGTTTTGAGAACCAGGTCCATACGGGCATTTGTAGACAACTGCTCTTCAAGCAGTTTTGCGCGAAACTCATCATTTTCCTTTGTCAAGCGGGCAACTTCTTCATTGGTGGAATTAACAGAACCAGGTCCCCTAGCAGCTTGACTGAGCTGAGTTTCCAGTATTGCATTCTGAGCCCTCATCCTCCTGATCTCTTCGGAAGCAGCATTTTGAGCATTTGATCAGCTGAGAAATGGTCGAGGTGCTTCCACCAACCTTTTCTACGCACTCACATTCTCCCAGAGTAGTTTTGGAGAAGGTTTGCTTGTGTGTGCCCACTTTGAGATTAGCCAAAGGAACCTTGTAGAACTTAAACACTCGAGTGAGGAGAAAGCCATATGGGAGCCCGTGATTGCCGCCTTTAAAGTTTGTCACCTTTTGCATATGTTCTATCATGATTGCTGGCAGATTGATCGGGACGAATTCATCAAGAGCCTTCATTAATACCAGATCAGACTTTGAAGCGATAGACCGCCTCTCAGCACGAGGTAAAAGCACCTTATTGACCAGCTCAAAGAGAAACTGATACTCAGGAAGTAGTGTCTTCTTATGCACCCGTTCCCCCTGCTGAACAACTTGCTCTTTCATGATAGCTCTCCTAAAGCTATCACCACAGGCACCCTACTGAGGACATCCCTTCACATGGAATTTGGAGAACTTTCCCCGATGCTGAAGCGTCAAGCACAATGTCTACTCCATTTACTGGCACACATATGTGATCCTCCTCAACAGAGAGATGCGTAGAAATTTTGTACCGCATCTTCGTACACCTTAGGCGCATCCTCTTGAAACAAATGCTTCCATTGTTGAAATTCCACCATCTCCAGAACTTGCCTCATACCTGTCATCTCTGAGGTTGCCGGGTCAAACATACGACCCCACAAGACTTTCTGAGTTCTCAATCTCTCTTGCCAAAGACCACTGTCACTAGGTATGGTCTTCATAGAACCAGGTTCCCCTGCAGTTTCCCGTTTTCATTTTTTGGACCCCTCAACAGACTTCCCTTTCCGGTTTACAACCCCCACAGTATCTCCTTCAGACATAGCTTGCTCAACTACAACCTTCTTAGACTTACTACTACCCTTCACGGATGTTCCACTTTGTTTTTCAATAGCTTCATCGGAAGCTCCANGACCCTTCAACAGACTTCCCTTTCCGGTTTACAACCCCCACAGTATCTCCTTCAGACATAGCTTGCTCAACTACAACCTTCTTAGACTTACTACTACCCTTCACGGATGTTCCACTTTGTTTTTCAATAGCTTCATCGGAAGCTCCAACCACAGACTTCTGGATTTTTGTAGATCGTTTTACTAAGGAACTGAGTTCCTCTACAGCATCTTTATCAACCTCAACCACTGGAATGCTTTTGTCAGACACAAATTCCCCCTGTTTTATCAACTTCTTGTTTTTCTTAACACTCCTCTTACTTTTCTGCAAGGCAGACTCGAAAGTCTCTTTCTGCTGCAACCTGGTAGAGAGTCGCTTGGAAGAGGATTCAGGATTCTCTGTTGGTTTGTGCATCTTAAACCACACGCTGACTTCATCAACAGGGATCTCACTGTGTGGAATGGATTCTAAGGGCTTAGGATAAACAAGAGGTTCCTGAGTTGATTTAACTGGAAGAGAATCAGGTTCTCCAACAGTTTTTTCTGTGACTGTTTCATGGACTGGAGACTCGAAGAGTACCAAGGTTCTTTCATCGCCTAAGAATGGAGCTTCTTCCCCCTGAGACTCAGACAAGAGGGAGGCTCCTTCGTTCAAAAGACTCTCAGCAGCGATAGCCATGTGTGCTGCTTCCTTTTCTGGTGACTCTGTGAGAGCCACTGAGTCCAAAATGGAGGAGTTTAGATACTGATCAGGATCATCCTCAGAGACCTCTGACATCTGAGTGGTAACACTTCCTGAGTGTTCTTTGGTGAGATCAGAAAAAGGGGGAGACATGGGGTTTTCAACACATGGAAGGGAGACAAAGTTTAACGAAGAAGGAAAAACAATAGGAGATGAGGAGGAAACAGGTGTGGGTGTTGCAGTAATAGGGATAGTGGAAGAGTGAATCTCTGGAGTTGACTTTAAGGATGATGGGGAAGTGAGAGTGGTGTTGATGGTAGAAGAAGGAAAAGATTGTTCATTTGCCATTGTAGGAGAATTTGGTAGGGAATTTGAGTGACAGAGAAGTTAAGAGAGGATCACATAGATACAAAAGGAGATGAAGGTTCAGGACTGCTGTGAGAGAGAGAGAGTTTTATGGGAAGAAGGGTCAATGATGAGAAGGGAGAGAAACGGGTTCTGAAGGGTTTCAAAATGGTGGTAGGTTTGTGGGAATACGTAACATGCAGAGGAGGTAAAAGAATTTGAAAGACAAGACGTGATATGCAGACTCTGAAAAGTCGGATGATGTGGTAGTTGAATTAATTTTGTTAACCTTTTTGAGAAAGCATGCGAAAAACAAACACATTACTGCTAACCTGTGGTACAGGAACCTGATTCCCGAACAGTTTTTGAAAAAGATTTTAGCAGCTCTTCTTTCGCAGTTCAGCATCGTACCTTTAGCTTCTATAATCGTCATGCGTGTTTACCTGCAACGGTATCGATGTGAGTTAGGCTTGGCCAGAAAACACTTTAGCTAGTTTTACCTGAAGGTGATTTTCATAGCCAATTGATGAGGTATCAGGTTCTCAATTAAGCTTCAATAGCCCCAGCTTCACCCTGTTTCTTTCAAAATGTTCCCCGCTAAATGCTTTGGTGAAGATATCTATAAATTGATGTTCTTGTGCAGCAAAATCTCATACAAATAAGTCCCTTTTTCACATTATTTATGAGACAAAGGTATCTGACATCAACGTGTTTGGTCCTCTTGTGCTAGACCTGGTTCTTTGCCATGTTAAGAGCGTCTGCTTCGCTGTTGAGAGAACCTAGGTTGTATTTCCTCGTACCCCATGAGATTAAGCATGATCCATAGAATGAGCCATTCCAGATGTGCTCTTCTTGACCATCAGATAACCTTGTTTCCTTCAAAATGATGCAGTTCCTCTTGCATTGCTGAATGCCCGTCAGCATCCTTCAAGGCTTCCTTGATATTTTTTGAGTTCTATCTGGGATAGAAATACAGAGAAGGCTAGGGAATTTCTGCCTTTTGATTTTGTCTAAATCCAGAATCAAGGGGGGTGATTATGTTATCGAGTGGATGGGAGCTTTTATGTTTCCACTTGGGGACTGAAGTTTGATTAGTAGAGGAGCTGAGTAAATTAAGTGGATTTCCGTGCACTCCTTATTCTGCTGCTTGTGGAGTACCTTGCACCACATCTCCAACTCTTTCTTCAGCTTCGTCATTTGAAACATCAGATATTTCCCCAAGAACCAAAAGTGGTTCATTATCTTGATCATCATTGTTTCCTCCCTTGTTAGAAGAGGGAGTCTTGTTGAATAGCTCATGACCACTTTCTTCCACACATTGTGTCCTTTTGTTGCAGACATTGTAGACTTTGCTTTGAGAGGAATATCTCAGAAGGATTCCTTCATCGCTTTTTGCATCAAACTTCCCAAGCTGGTCCTTCCCGTTGTTGAGAACATAGCGTTTGCATCCAAAGTTTCCCAAATGAGTTATCTTTGGTTTTCTTCTATTGAGCAGCTCATAGGTTTTTTTTTAGGAGGGACCTGATCATACACCTGTTCACCAAGTAGCAAGCAGTGTTTATTGCTTCTGCCCAGAATTTTTGGCGATTCCACTATCGATGAGCATTGTCCATGCCATGTCTTCCAGAGTTCTGTTCTTCCTTTCAACAACACCATTTTGCTGTGGAGTCCTTGGTGCTGAGAAGTTGTGAGTGATCCCATTTTCATTACAAGACTCATCAAATTTGGTATTGACAGATTCTGTCCCGTGGTCAGATCTGATACATGCTACCTTCAATTCCATCTTCACTTGGATCTTCTTGACAAATGTCACAAATACCTCAAAAGTCTCTTTCTTTTTTCTAAGAAACAGTGTCCAGGTGAATCTTGAATTTGGCAATCCATGAACCAGGTCCTTCTGAATGAGTTCATTCAGAAAGTGAGAAGCTTGCGTGTCTCAATTTTTATGCTAAAGTTTTGCATCATTATCAACTGCTTTTAAGCAGCTCATATCACCAGCTTGTAGAGATTTAAAGTCAGTGACGTAGATGTTCTTGTATCTTTTGGCTACTAAGACCACTTCACCAGTTACCAGATTGGTAACTGTGTGCATTTTTGATAAGAACTCTACTTTGTTCCCTTTATCACAGAGTGTGAAAGAGAATTTCCAACATTTCCAACACAGTGAATGTACCCTCTTTTTTTTTCCAAAGGATACATTCCCTTCCCTGCAGAGCTTTCAGTGAGAGAAAATCCATGGTGTTTCCAGTCATGTGCTTTTAGCATCCACTGTCCATGAACCATTGCAGTCCGTTTCCTCTCACTGTTCCCTGCACATATAAATTACGGGTTAGATTTAGGAACCCAAACTAGTTTGGGTCCCTTGTTATGAGAAAATGGATAAATAAGAGCTTTTCTAGTCCATGCAGGCAATATTCGTTTCTTGGAGCGGTACCTGGTCCCTCTTTAGTAGTCACTTTTTCAGTAAACAATTTTTTTTCTGAACAGAGTGAACCCTGACCTGACAATTTTCTTTGAAGTGCCCATTGTTCCCACAGTGGGTACAAAGCCAGTTATCAGGAACTGTGACATACTTGCTGTGAGGGTTGTAAGGAGTTTTCTGCTTTTGAAACCCGATTCCCTGCCTGTTTTCACTATTGTTGAAGTACATGGCAGTGACAGCATCTGAGGACCAGGTCCACTTGAGAGATTTCTCAAGATCAGTTTTTTACTTTCTTCAGTTCAGCTTGAAGCTGCCCATTTTTCTCGAGTTCACCACATAGACTAGTTTTAACATCATTTAATTCTTTTTCAAGCTTGATGTGTGACTCACCGGCTACTTCTTTCCCTTTCTCAATACTTGTAGGCCTAAGTTCTGATTTGAGTCCCTCAATAGTTTCCTCTAGGTCAGTGATTATCACTAAAAAGTCATCCCTCTCTTACTCAGTAGCTGCAATTTTCTCTTTTAGAGTGTGCTTTTCATTGCTAAAGCTTTCTATGATTTCTTTCAAATCAACAACCACTACCATCAAGTCATCTCTCTCATTTTCTACATTATTTATTTTTTCATTCAAAGTTTCCTTTCCTTTTTCAAAATTAGCTATGGTCTCATTTAGATCAACTACATAGACCACCAGATCGTCTCTAGATTGTTCAGCATCTCCTAGCTCTATGGTCAAGATCTCCATATCATTAATAAGGCTATAATATGCATCAATTAGAACATTTGCTAATGACCTTAATTTCTTAGAAGAGTAAGACTTCAGATTTCTCTCAACATCCCTGAAATTTACCTCATCATTTTCATCCTCTTCATCATCGTCAGACTGAGCCATCAGCGCAAACAGTGAGTCATACTTCGTTGCTTCAGTTTCTACTGCCATCATGGAGCTGTTTTCTGCATCTGGTTCCCCTTCTGATTTACTGGAGGAGTCTCCCCAAGCAGCAAGAGCTTGCTTCACAACATTGTCAACTGCACTATTTTGAATGAACCGTTTGTCAGGAACCGGGTTCCTTTTTGCTACTTTGTCAGGGTTTTGTTTGTATTGCTCCTGTTTCAGAAATGGGCAATCTTTAATGAAATGCCCTGGCTTTCCGCACTTGTGACAGAGATCATTGTTCCTTGCCTTACTTGAATTACCCCTCTTTGGTATACCACCATTTCTTCGAACCATCTTTTGAAACCTTTTAGTAAGATAGGCCGTATCACTATCTTCTTGACTTGAGTCACTGTTTGCAGCCTTGAGCACCACGTTTTTTTCCTTCTTTGGCTCTCTTCTTTCACTGTCTTTCTTTCTTTTCATCTTGCATGTCTTCAGATTTCCAATCAACTCATCCATGGGTAGAGTTTGTAAATCTTTAGCTTCAGTGATGGCATTTACTTTACTCTCCCAAGAGCCAGGTAGAACACTGAGAATCTTCGTTACAAGCTTGTTTCTGGGAATAACTCCAAGTGAATTAAGCTCATTTATGATGGATGTGAATCTAGTGTGCATATCTTGTATAGACTCATCATCTTTCATCCTGAAGAGCTCATACTCAGTGGTGAGCATGTCAATCTTGGACTGTTTAACCTGAGTAGTTCCTTCGTGTGCGGTTTGCAATGCTTCCCATATTTCTTTGGCAGAATCACAAGCTGAGATTCTGTTGTACTCATCAGGTCTTATACCACATACCAAGATTTTCTTGGCATGATAGTTCTTTTCTACGACTTTTCTGTCAATATCACTGTACTCTTTTCTATTTTTCGGCACCATTGGTCCAGTTTCTCCAAGCTTCTTCATAGGAACATGTGGACCATCACAAATGACGTCCCATAGTTCTGAGTCTTCAGCCATTATAAAATCATGCATACGAGTCTTCCACCAGCCGTAGTACTGACCATTGAATCTAGGAGGTCTGTAGGTTGATTGTCCTTTCTCAAAGTTAGGTGGAGCAACCATTGAGATCCTTTCTAGGTGTTAACCTTTTAGAAAGAACCTGCTCTGATACCAATTATTAGTTTATATAGATCCACCACACTATAGAGTACCTGGTCCTCTACTGAGAATACTATTGAAGCAGTAAGTAAATGAGACGCATGATTTTTACGTGGAAAAATCTTACTCAAGGAGACAAAAACCACGACCTACACTTGTAGGCTTTCAACTTCACTAACTTGCAATCACACTATTACAAGCCACTTTGTAATGACTCTATTACAAAGACTTCAACTCAACTAACTTGTGATACACTTACCACAAGCCACTTTGTCACACACTAGTTACAAAGAGTTTAACTTATGGCTAACTTTAGTCACAACATAAACTCAGAAGGTTTATGATTTTGGGTTTCATAAAACACAGCTTCCAACAAAGCAAGATAGGAGTTACAATGAAGAACAAATAACAAGATTACAACTCAACTACGGATACACATAGACTTATTGTGGAACTGATCCTTAGTGGAGTTGTCTTCTTGTTCTTGACACACTTGTGACTTCAATGCTGGATCAACTCTTTAATGCTTGAGAGAATATCACTAAATGCTCAAGTGAATATCTTGTGCCTTGCACCATGTTGTTATACCACCAAAGACATCCCAAGGATGATGTCAGTTCATGGTTGGTATACGCCTCTTCCCAATGGGAAGTGACTGCTACACTGTCTGCTGCACTGTCGCGTGTACAGTCGCAGGCAGGTACTTTCTGCAATTGCTTTCCAGCTGTATAGTTGACTTGTACTTTTGAAAACATCCAGGGATCAGGTCCCTGTCTTGTTCCTTTTTTCTCTTTATTTGCAGCAGTTCACATTAGCTGGAGTTCAGGCTAGACTTCGTTCATTTGAAATGTGTACCAAGTGTGTCAGGTTCCCTATCTGATTCTTGACAGTAAGTTTGTTAGATCATCAAAATATAAGGCAAAGACATTGAAAGCCCATCAATCTGAATAGAGACTATTTACATTTTTTAATTTCTCAAGGTTATGTGGATAAATATATCCTATTCCTTCCCATTCTAACTAAGCATAGAAAGAACTGGTAACGACTGTACTATTTTGATTTTGGTAAATGAATCTCAATAATGCTGAAATTGGTTAGTTTATTTAACCACGCTTACTGCATTTGCAGGTAATTATTCCTTTAGCGGAAATAGATGAGGTACGATATTCTCCTTGTTTTTTTACCATGATCTGTTCTTCCAAGTTGTCAGTGTGCTTGGAATTTAGCTGGGCCATTTGCAGAAATCAGCAAGAGTATTATTTTTCTTTTAGATAAGGAGGAGCCAGCATGCATTTGTTAATCCTGCTATTACAGTAATTCTCCGCATTGGTGCTGGCGGCCATGGGGTGCCTCCGTTAGGAAATCCGGATGGTTAGTATTTTAACCTAATCTTTTAACCTTATTTTTCATTTCACTAGAAACACATTTTCTTTTGTTTTAAAAGAAACAGGAAGTTGGCAAGCTGTGAGTGAGCGTTTTCTCGCTAGGTTTCAATTTTTGATATGTTATGAGAAGATTCTATGATATCACCACTGGCACTGCTAGCATTATCATGCAAGACTAGAAATTCTACCTAAGTATTTTCTCCATCCCAAAATAAATGTTCTTCTTCCACCATTGACACAAAATAATGTATACTTCTCGAGAAACTAAGATTTTACCTTACACTATATAATACAAGTTGGGTCCCAGTTATTTTTTAACTTCCGAATATTCTCAATATGACATGTTCCTATTTCTGCTAAAGAAAGACTGGCTCAACCTATCAACCCATGTTTCTCCATTATCGAGAAACCACTTTCTTACAATCTTATCAACTGAAAACTAGACATCCAATTTGGAGACAAGGGAAGTGGTTTGTTTTGCTTATGTTAGACAGTTGAACTTGAAATTTAAATTCTGGATGTATTACGACCGATATGCTAATCACCTAGTTTTCTTCACTTTCAGGTAGAGTAAGATATAAATTCGCATCTTTTTGGAATAGGAATCATGCGTTAAGAGCCTTGCAACGTTCAGCAGATAACTATCATGAAATGCTAGAAGCTGAGAAGAAGGTTATATTTTATTTTCTTTCTGTGCTTTTAGTTGGTCCTTTTTCTGATTATTATCTGAGACAATAAGCACTCCTGGTTATCATATATCCATAGTGAATAGTGATACAACCACCCATGAATCAAATTGAATATTTAACCTTAGCTGTCTTAAAAACATTTATGTATTCAATAAAAGAGGTATTCTGAAAGCTGAGATGTACGACAGCGTTGAATGCATTAGCATTCATCACATATGGGTTTTCCTTCTGTCAATGAAATCCCTACTTAATGGCACCACTGAGCATAAACAAAGATGTTTTTTGTGTTTATGGAACTTCCTTTTCTAATTCTTTTTATCAAAAAAGTTGCACGGCATGGTTACCATATTTATTTGTGCTCGAGGAAAGAACCTTCCATATGAAGATTAGTTTGATTACCATATCCAGTATTTCAAAGAGCTCTCTTTTGGTAGCATAAATTTATTGTAACAACGCTGAAGCATGTCAGTGTCCCTTCTGGGCACCAAAATCAGGAAAAAAAAGAAACAGCAAAGAAAGAGACTAGTATGAATGTATTGAGCTGGCATGGTCTGTCTTATTTCTTTGGGTTCCTTTTGTTCATAATGAATTCCCCAAAGCCTCCATATTAATTGCATCTCTATCATGGATTATAATCTTTATGCAAGTTATCCTGGACGTCTATGTTTAACAAGGGGAGAAGAAGCATGAGGCCTTTGATGTTATGAACAACTTGGCTTACTGAATTATCTCTGTTATGTGAAGGCTTTACATTTTAGTAGCTTTCTGTCATCGTTCTTTGCCTGTTTAGGCAGCATGCTAGTAATCATTTTGCAAAATAATACTGCTTTGTCTACTAGATATCCGTTTCCTGATTGCTTACTTCCATTCTACGTCAATGGTGCTATGTAGTTATATTTTATCTGTAAGCTTCTTGAAGCAACATGTTCTGCAGATTCTTTATTAATCTCGGCATGTTTTGTATTCACCGTTACAGCTAGAACATCAGAACATTTTCTTTACTTTAGCTTTAAGTTGTCTCTAACAGCATTTTTACTTTTTAGGTTTAAATTGTCTCTACCTTTTAGACTTTGGCTTTGCATGACTTTTCTTTTAATATATCTTAAATTTCCCTCTTTTCTCTCTGTAGGAGATGGAACAGTCGGCACTGCGTGCACATAGCAGCTCGGTCAAAGGATGTAAAAAGATGGAATTAAATCAGGAAGAAAGTGTGACCAAGATTCAGAAATGTCAACCATTTATTAAAGAAGAAGTCCTCTCTGGTATATATGATGTATGTAAGATATTTAATCTCTTACATTTTTGGGACTAGGACTTCTTTCCATGATTTATGACGCTCTTAAATTTTGCAAGGATGTTTTGCCATGCACAGCCGAGCAATTTTTTGACTTGCTATTGGCTGATGGTTCAAATTTCACTAATGAATACCGTGCAGCAGGGAAAGATTTCAATCTCAATGTAAGCCCCATATTCTATTTAGTATAAAAAATGTTTATGACTCATGCTTCTTTATACGTTTCTCATTTGAACTAGATTATGGAACTTTTTGTTAGAGAATATGCATTATTTTGGGTGGCATATGAAATATTGTTCCAGGAGTAAACTGTTCTGCACGCAATTTATGAAGTTTCGGGGTTATCTTTTGCCTGGAGATATTACTGTGTTTCATTTAGTTCTGCTCAGAGATTAGAATAAATACGAAAATAAATTACTTTAGCCTCATTATGCTTTTCACATCTCAACAGAAATTGCTTTACTTCAGTTGCTTTCGCTTGACTCAAAATATTGAATGTCTTTCTTCTCCGTAGATGGGTGAATGGAATTCTGCTGATGAATATGATGGTCAAATCAGAGAAATTACTTTCAGAACCATATGTAACAGCCCTATGTGCCCTCCAGATACAGCAGTGACAGAGTATCAACATGCTGTTTTATCACTGGATAAAAAAGCTCTTGTAATTATCATATCTCACCTTCAATGTTGTATGTTACTGGTCATGTTTATGCTTACCATTTTCGTATTTTCCCTTAGGTATTTGAGACTGTGCAACAGGCCCATGATGTGCCGTTTGGGTCATGCTTTGAGGTACTAATGACTTTGGGTGTCAGGCCATGATCTTTTCCCAGACTACTCTATGGAATTCCTTATACATTAACTCCATCCTAGACTGCTCCTCATCTTAATCCTGATTAGATTTGCTATTCAATCAGGTACACTGTAGGTGGTCGTTGGAAACAACTTCTGAATCATCCTGCACTTTGGACATAAAAGCCGGTAAGTTTCTTCCATCCGGGTTTCTTGTTCTTCTGGATGTGTACAAGCCACTATCCATTGATCACCTTTGCTTCTAGAAATGAATCTATTGTTCCTGGTCACTTTTCGAATGATGTG